GGTTTAATTTAGTAGCAGTGAATCATAGGCTGACTCAAGGTTCGTTTGTTTATGCCTGATCATAACCTTGCTTTTCAGATTTTAGTTGAAGATGTAATGAGGGCAGTTCATTTGAAATCCTTTGACTATCGAGTTCTGAATCTTCTCCTGTACCAGTTAAGAGGGGAAAAGGTACATACCTGTTGGTGATTTCACTCATTTTATTCTTCTATTTTTACATGTCAAATAATTTCCTTTTCTTTTTAAAATACATCTTAAAAGAATTTAACCTTTTTTCGTCAGGCATTGTCAAGATCATAAAACAAATTTCTGTCATGTTTTCATTTAGAGAATTCCGTCAAACCCTGATTAATTTGGCCAGTCCTTTCTTTTCCACCTCTCAATCCTGCTAGTTACCGAGTAATATGTAGCCTGTTGTTTGGTTAGATGTATGTAATTAGGCTAAACGTATTTTCTTGAAGTTTTGCTGAAGGTAAATGATGTGCATATGGAATTCTTATCCATCTCAGAATTTCTAGTGGAAGTGTCTGACGATCTGTAAGTGCTTATTTTCTTTCCTTCTTTCTTTCTTTATCAATTTATCCTTATTCTGTATTTAGATTTTAAGTGGTGTTTTTTTTTTATGGCTATAAAGTATGCCAACTCATTAACTATTTAAAAACAACAATTTTTGCAAAATAATCAGATATAAAATTGTATGGTGTAGAATAGACACAAAATCATATTTTATGCTATAGAAATGTCTCATCTTAGCTTTTGGATGCATGTGCATGGCTAAGTGTAAATGTGTATTTGCCACCCCTCTCATGGGCTTGCATGAGTGGTACAGAGTGATCACTCTTTCTTGCTTTCGTGATATCTTTCTTTTATTATGTTATTACAGAGATAATGGTTTTTTTTTTTGTTGCTATAATTTATGTGCCAAGCATGATCAGTTACCCAAAATGAAGAGTTCAATGGCAATGTTGTAGGTTTGACTATGAGGTAAGTTCATATCCCATTTGTAGGAATTTTTATTGCGGTTCCTTTTGATTTGCCCAACTCTAATTTTAAAAGCATGCGTTTTTTGTGTAGGATGATGTGCTAGAAAATAATTTCAATATCTTGCGCATGTTTGTCAGAATATATGGACCGGCAATGGCCCCAGCCATGCTGGTGAGTGATCTGAGCATTTTATTTGTTAAATTTAATAGGAAGGTATTGGCTGCATAAATTTTCTCTTCGATTGAGAAAGCTTGTACTCTTTTGGAGCGGGAGCTTGAGAGTTTTGTAGTGGTGAGGGGTAGTGGGAGTGTGAATGTTGTCTGTATGAGTTTCAGCTGAGGTAACTGAATAGATTTAAAAATTTAAGTGGTTGCCTTGTTACTTCAGCGACATAATTTTCTTGGTGTTCTATCAGCAGACAAACTCGATATGATCATGCCAGTTGATACCAAAGTACCAATTTTTTTTGTTGCAATAATGATGATATTAGAGGCAGGGACTGGTGAAACAGACGATTTATATTACTTTCTTCTTTGGAAAGCCCCTGATGTCAATTCATTAATCTATTGAATTAGATTAAAATATCAATCTATATACTCTATTACCTGGTAATTTTTAAGGGAAAGATGTTTTTTATTGATCCTTTACAGGCTAAATACATTGCTGAAGCGGAAGAGAAGTATAGCAGTTTGTTGAAAACTCTGGACCCTCAACTGTCCACAAATTATCAGAGGAGATGTGAAGAAGCTACCAAAGAAGGTACTTTGTGTGCTTTGAAGTGAAAACTCGTATGAAGTTAAGAATCTTTTTTCTGCTGATGGTGATTTGTTCTCCATTCAATTAGGTGGGAAGATGTCTGGGTATCCTCTTGGAACATGGAACATACCGCCTGCGATTGTAGATGAAGAATTATATCGATCAAACTGGTTAAATTCTGAATCAGTGGTACCTCTTGGTTGACTTTGTGGGTTTAAATGCAAAACACGTAACATGCTGTCGCTGCCTAACCTACACCGCAATACTCAATAGCATTAGGAGCGTTTGGGCCCAAGATGGTTTGACATGACGTGCTTCATTTGAATTTAGTGCTTGTGTATGCCTTCATTAAGACAATCCAATTTCTCAAGTCTCCACTAATTTTGTGCACCGAACTCTATATATATACACACACATCAAAAAACTTACGGTTGAGTTTTTGTATTTTGATTCAAACCCTCAGATAGCCAAGAACTGGAATCTACGGGTGTTTGTTTGGCATGCGTGAAGATGCCCAGGGGCTGTATGGCTGTGGAGCTATTGCTGGCAGCAGATGAGGCAAGGGGCCTAGCTTTTGCTGCCATGAGTTTTTACTTATAATTTTATAAATATATATATTTTTCAGTATTTTTTTTATAATTTTAATTTATATAAAAAATTAAAAAATATATATTTTTATATAAAAAAATACATAATACTAATTAATTATTTTAAATACCTTTATATTAGAATATTAATATAATAGTATGGTGAGGGCTTGAGAGGTTGACGCACGCAGGGATGCTGAGAAAATATTGTTGCTTGTATTTTAATATAATAAATTATATATATAATATATGTCTTATGTTTAGGTTTCAGCACTTGTCCCAGCTCATTTCTCATTTACCTAAACGTTTTTCTTCTTTTTTTTTTCTTCCACTCACTATCCAAGAGCTTTTTTTTTTTTTTTTTGAGCCGTTGTTTCCGACCTCTCTCCTTTGTATAAATTTCTTTTCACGTTCAAGTAAGCAAGTAATTTTTTTTTATTTTAGATAAATTTTCTCCATTTTTTATTTATTTTATTATCTAATTTTAATTTTTTTTTTTTATAATTAATTATTAAAAATAGTAGGGTTGTTAATAATTTAAGGGTTTTGATATATATATATAATGTTTTGCATCAATTAAAGGTGAATTGTGGACACTTGTAGATTTTGAACAATAAACATTGATTTGATTGTTTTGAATTGATTAAAGGTTATGTAATTTTCAATTAAATTAGTTGCCAAATGGAATTAAACTATTTCACAAGATGAACAGGTATATATTCCAATTATTAGTAGTGAATAAAGATTGATATTAATAAAATTAAAATTGTTTTAATTTGATATTGATTTTTTTATGATATTAATTATCTTGTGCCTTCCTATAAAATAATAATCATGATAGATGATTAAATAATTTTTATTTTTTTTTATTTTTTTTGTCAAGTAATTTGTGTTTCGTTAGCGCCTAAAGAAGAATTAATACATGCTTACATGCCTGATTTTAATTTCGGTTATTTTTTTAAAAAAAGAACTATTTTTTTGTAAGGTTTTTTATACATGCCTGATTTTAACTAGTGTCTATTAGTTTTTTCTTTAAAAAGAAAAGAAAAAAATATTTTTTTTGTAAGTTTTTTATTTTAAAAATACTTTTAAATTAATTTTGCAGAGTTAGTATATTTATTTTAAATTAATTTTTAATATATATCTATATATAATATAATATTTATTAGTAATTTACCTCTCATTTAAAAACGTCTTGATCTGCCACGGAGCAGCTCGACACTTCTGCTATGAATCTGTAAAATCAGAGCAACAAGTCAGGAAAAACATGGAAAAAAGTTAAAGCGGACACAGAATACCCGTCTAATTAATTAAAGTGTACGTTCACGAATTCTTTTCCTGCGTTCTTCGTGATGCAGCTGATATGATCCACTCTTTTTTATTTTATTTTATTTTATAGTTTTCATTTATTGGGCAAGAGCATTTTAGTAAAGGGCCCATCACTTCTGACTTGGATTCTCCAGATTTATTTTTTTAAATAGCTTGTATTAAAAAAATATTTGATAAACTATCATAAATAAATAAAATATTTAAGAGAATATCTCGGCTAAAAGTTGCAATGCTGAGAATATTGCAACTCAATTTTTTTTAGAAAAATATAAAGGTATGCTGTTCGAAACAATGTAATCTATTTATTAAGCTGTTACTAGTAATGTAAACCATGCATTTAAAACCATCTCTATAGCTGATTTTAAATTATAGCAGCAGATATGATTTAAAGTATTGTTTTATTTAGATATAAGTTAAAATATATATTTTTTATTTTTTAAAATTATTTTTAATATTATCATATCAAAACGATATAAATATATAATTTTTTATTTTAAAAAAAATTAAAATTTTTAAAAACATAATTTACACTACATTTTTTCACACAACTTGAACTCTTTGTTTGAGACTTGAATACAAGGTTTCTGATGTAATTCATTGTGTAAATAAAAATTACAATTTTTAAATTAGAAAGCTACATGGAAACTTTGATATTTTTAAAAAAAGCTTATAATTCAATAATACAATAAAAAATAATATATCAACTATTTTTATACAAAGTAAGAATTGATATAAGTAAAAGAATCGTAGAAAAGGTAATTAAATATAAAATTAAGTAGAAAAATAATCGAAATCAGAAAAAGTAAAGAATATTGTAGTCTAACTTGAAAGTTTTCCAGATCTTGACTGATTACAGCGGAATGGACTCCTCTTTGAAATTAGACTTGTAGAACTTTCCGTTTAAATTTAAACTTAATCCTGTAATTATATATAAAATTATAACTATTTTTTTTATTAAACTGTGCATTTGACTTCTCTGAGTTTTTGGCTTTAGTTATCTAGTTCATAAACGTATCCTCAATATATTTAATATCAGTTTAGGTTTGGAATTAATTTAAATTTAAAGTTTAGTTTGGAATGGAGATTTAAATTTGCGTTATAATTTTTCAGTCAAGGGGCTGTAGTACTGTTGGAAAAGCACATTCCCTTAAATTGCACTGTGCTGCATGTGATAGCTATCTTTCCTTTCACTGTTTGCCACACCCTCAACGTTATCACCTAGCAGGTCTTGTTTTGGCATCTGCAATCCAATCATATTTTGAATTAATCTTTTGGTATATTTTATTGTTTTAATAAATGAATATTAAAAATAAATTTTATTAAATATAATACACTGAAGTTCAGTCCGTAGTCTTCCTTTCTCTCAGTCATCACCCACCACTCAACTTGTCCTTTTAATTGGCGCACTCTTGCTTCTCTTCTCTCTATATACAGGGACATGGACGAAAATTAACCAGATTCTGTCCCTTCCTTTGTTTGTTTCTTGAGCTGCTTACTGTGACAGGGAGAGTTACAAGAAGCAAACCGCCAAGTGCCAACCTGGGCTTCAAACTACTCTGAGCCCTTTCATTTAACTTCTTTACTGGGGATATAGCTAGTTGCTATGGCTTCTTCTTGGTCACGATGCATGAAAGGCTTTGTTTGATGACCATATACAATGGGTTCTTGTCACCTGTTACCTGCCTCTAGATCACTGCTAACTGCAATTTCTATATATTTTATGCTCTATCCGATCTCTTGTTTTGATCAACACTTACAGCCTCCAACTTCTCCTCACAAGGTACGTAAGCCTGAACTCACCTCACCTCCCTACCTCCTCCTGGTCTTCTCCTCACAAGCAAGCCTCAACTCACCTCACCTCACCTCCCTACCTCCTCCTGGTTTGTTTTGATGCTACAAGTTATGATCTTTTGAGTAGGGTATAGCTTTTGAGGAGAAGGCAAGGCTAGGTTCGACCCCACCAAGTTGCCACAGCAAATGCAATGGTTGCCACCCGTGCATAGCAGTTCAAGTACCAGCTATACCGAGTCAAAACCAGCCAGTTCAAATGGGTTCAGCTAAAACTAGCAGTATTGATGAGTTCTTCGACTCGTATCCTGCAGGTAATAGGTTCCCAGATTATAGGCCACTTGGCTGGAAATGTCGCTGTGCTGACCATTTCTATAATCCCTTAACTTAATATGTATTCTCAGTAATTAGTAAGAGTTGAATCAAAATGGTGATCATGATCTTCAAAATTGTTCCTCTTAATCTGTTTTGAAATTGCGATTAAAAGTAGGTTCCTCAGTTTCTTTAGACATGTGAAGGTGTCAGCATTGACTGTAGACTTACATTGAAACTTCGGCACAGTATTGTTGGATTTTAAAGTGTTTATATATATATATATTAAAATAATATTTTCTTTATTTTTTTAAATTATTCTCGATGTTAATACATCTGAAATCCAAAAACATAAAAAAATTAATCTAAATAAAATAAATAAATTTCACATACATGTTAAACTTTTCATATGTTTTCTTCTGTTTTGCAAGCTTCCGATCTCGCTTACTGAGGTCCATCCGAAGTCCGAACTCAAACATCGATTTATGCTTTAACTTTTAAGAGGTTGGGTTCTGAGGACGAGTTATAGGGTCTCCTTTTTGACTTGACTGGTTCACTTTCGAGAGGGGAATGAACAATTCCGCAGCTTCTTTTTTTTCTTGAGCATTTTCTCGCTAAACTGTTTGCTACTCACTGCCTATTGCCTGCTACCTTTTCTTTTTCTGGGTTAATTCTAGATACTAGTTACCGACTCCATGATTCATAGAGAAAAACACATATTAATTTAAGGAAATTGGAGTTTACTCTCTGCGAGCAAGAGACAGGAGGGGCCTTTCTTAATGTTTTAGCACTGTTTCGTGTATTATGGATGGTGGAGCTTTTTGGAGGAAAAAAGAAAGAAAGGACAGCTGTTAACACTCTTAACATAGGCAATGAAGACACCCAGAATAAATGATATTAGGTAGGGCTCTTTCGAGGTATGGAATTGTCGGTTCGGTTGAGAGAGAGAGAGAGAGAGAGAGGACCGGGAAGCATGGTTACAGCGCAGGGAGTACAAATATCAGCCTCTGCTCCCGTTGCAGATCTAACAGTATTTTTGAGTTAAACCACTTTTTATTGAATTTGTTTAGGTTTGTCATACGTTTAGAACTTTATGACAAGGTGTTTTTTTTTTTTAATAATTATTCTATTCATGAATCATAAATAAGAAATACAACTTGAAAATTGTGTATAATTAATAAACTTATTTTCCAAACTACTATAGTTTGTTAGTTGGAGAAAATAATTGTCACTCGTGCATGTGTACATGCATAACGTATAGATAATGTATTTAGTACATGCGTCACCAATAAGTGTTACACGTGCTACTTACTCGATAGATTCGGGTTTAATAATTATGATTTGAATACTAATTTTTTTAAAAATATTTTTTAAAATTGAAAAGATGATGATTTTTATTAGATATTCTTCAAAGTAAACACATTAAATTTATTTTAAAAAATAAAAAATATTAATTTATTTTTTCATTTAAAAAATAATTTAAAAATTGCTTTAAAAACAGCTTAGACCATAAAAACAAACATTTTTAAATAATTAATTAACTTACCTACTTCCTTTTATTTTTTTCTACTTCATTATGTCATTTTAAGAATCATTATACATTTTAAATTTTCTGCCTTTTTTTTTCATTTTCTAGACAACCTCTCAAACCATAAAAGAAATGGTAATAGCCTAAAAATATTAAAATTTAATTTTAAAAGTTTAAAGAAATTTGAGATCCATAAAAGAAAAAACTTAGATTACACAAACATTAAAAACCTTAAAAAATAGAGAGAGAAAATTAAACTTTGAACATGCCAAAAAATTGAAATAACCATATATATATACATATGTATATATATGTATATACATATGTATATATATATGTATATATATATTGAAATTAATGAAGGAAATGGAATGCCTTGCAAAACTCATGTTATGGACAGACATATTTGTTTAAGGACAGTTCGATTTTTTCCCTTGAAATAGTGAAAACTGAAAACCGCAGCGTGACCCGTAATGTGACTTTAAACGATGTCGTGCAGTTTTTTCTATATATACCGGTAAGCTGAATTTCCACTTAAGCATTCGCAGTCCCTCTTTCCATTTTCCCCAAATTGCAAAACATCTCTGGAGCGAGGGAGTGAGTGAAGCATGGAAGAGCTGAAGAAACTAGAAGAAGTTCAGAGAATGATAACACTGATGGAATCGCATGCCTTACTTTCTCCTTCTTCTTCTGATAAACACCACTCTAATCGCTTCCTCGCCAATCTCTTCCTCCTCCTGATACAACAGTGCGGCGATCTAGATTTCAAGGACAAACTCACTCTCATCAACCAACACCTTCCAAAAGTGACTACTATCTTACTCGATTACAATTGCCACATCAAAGTAAACATTTTATATGATACTGATTTTTTTTAATCGTTTTTTTTTTTGTGCAAGATTTCGGGTTCTTTTCTCGAAGAAGCGTCGCTCTTGTTTAATCTGGAAGAAGCGGTGCTGCAAACGGAAAGCAAGCGTATTGCTAATAGTAATAGTGATTTGGAAGATATGGCATTGGTTGGCTTGGATGCCATGCAACGCGCAAATTCTACTCTTGAGGATTTTGTAAGCAGAGTTATTTGTTTTTTTTTTTTTATTGTTGCTATTAGTTATTTGTAAACTTATGCATTGACTGGCGGTTTTATTTATTTATTTTATTTTTGGGAATTAATAGTGCAGATCGTACTTTATGTTTCATGAAATGGACATAAATAAGCCACAATCGATATTCAAATATTTACCTCTGCTTTCATTCACTGAAAGTTACATTTATCAGGTTAGGAATTGGAATTGCAGCTGTGGATTTTTTTTGTATTGTGCGGCTAGGGGTTTTTTTCCTCAGATTTTTTTCCTGAATAACTGTATTTTTTTTTTATATATATATATATGTAGATGGATGGTTTAAATGAAAAGATAGTCAATATGCAAACCAGTAGAGTTGGAGCTGTAGAAAGAAAACCTCACATGGTAAGAACTGTGAGCTTCGGAAGAGATATGATGAAAATGTAGTGACTGTTTTATTGTTGATTTTCATTTGTTTCAATGCCTTCCAATTTGACATTCAGGAAGTGAGTGAAAGGTGGATTGGTAAGCTTATAGATATGTTAAAAAACGACCCATTTGGACCCCTTGTGGGTCAGCTTCAACATCATGGCCTTTTGACAGAGAGGTATTGTTTCATATTATTTTTATTATCATTGTCTTTGGCGTTGGGGTAATGAGGTGAAGCTTGAAATCTGAATATAAGCTATATTGTTTGTTTTTTCATATTCGGTTAAGGATCAATGAAGAACTCAGGTTTGGACAAGAGTATTGGGATTTGGAAAGAAAGCTATGCTCTGCACTCGTGAACCAAACTGAGGTACACACATTCATCCGGTTCAGTTTTTCCTAAATTAATTCTATTCTTGCTGGCTTGTTTTTCATCTACGGGTGTCATTTCCTAAAATATCCTTACTGTAGCACTGTAAGTAGTCAGAGTAACATGAATTATCAGTCTGACCTCAGCTGGTCCACCTTGAAAACAATGTCATAGGATGGATCTATGAGCATTAAGATGTTTAAATACTGTGCTGCGGAATTTTTCTTTTTTACCATCAAATTATGTTTTAGCACCTCATAGATAGAGAAGAAATCAAGTCCATCAGTGCATAAACATCAGTAATATCAACATTTGATGAATGACTCCAGGGCCAATTGTGGATTCATAAGTAGGATACATGTTAAATTTGAGCATGGCCGATTTATTTTCTTATATCAGATATTGTATATCACTGGATCACACTGCTCACAATCAAGGTTCTTTTGACACATTCTCGTGTTCCATGCCTTTTGAATTAAATAGGAGGAAACTAGTACAAAAGGGTCACTAGTTCACTTGAAATAGCTTACTAAGATTCTTCCAGAGAGTTTGAGGGGTTTAATTTAGTAGCAGTGAATCATAGGCTGACTCAAGGTTCGTTTGTTTATGCCTGATCATAACCTTGCTTTTCAGATTTTAGTTGAAGATGTAATGAGGGCAGTTCATTTGAAATCCTTTGACTATCGAGTTCTGAATCTTCTCCTGTACCAGTTAAGAGGGGAAAAGGTACATATCTGTTGGTGATTTCACTCATTTTATTCTTCTATTTTTACATGTCAAATAATTTCCTTTTCTTTTTAAAATACATCTTAAAAGAATTTAACCTTTTTTCGTCAGGCATTGTCAAGATCATAAAACAAATTTCTGTCATGTTTTCATTTAGAGAATTCCGTCAAACCCTGATTAATTTGGCCAGTCCTTTCTTTTCCACCTCTCACTCCTGCTAGTTACCGAGTAATATGTAGCCTGTTGTTTGGTTAGATGTATGTAATTAGGCTAAACGTATTTTCTTGAAGTTTTGCTGAAGGTAAATGATGTGCATATGGAATTCTTATCCATCTCAGAATTTCTAGTGGAAGTGTCTGACGATCTGTAAGTGCTTATTTTCTTTCCTTCTTTCTTTCTTTATCAATTTATCCTTATTCTGTATTTAGATTTTAAGTGGTGTTTTTTTTTTATGGCTATAAAGGATGCCAACTCATTAACTATTTAAAAACAACAATTTTTGCAAAATAATCAGATATAAAATTGTATGGTGTAGAATAGACACAAAATCATATTTAATGCTATAGAAATGTCTCATCTTAGCTTTGGGATGCATTTGCATGGCTAAGTGTAAATGTGTATTTGCCTCCCCTCTCATGGGCTTGCATGAGTGGTACGGAGTGATCACTCTTTCTTGCTTTCGTGATCTCTTTCTTTTATTATGTTATTACAGAGCTAATGGTTTTTTTTTTGTTGCTATAATTTATGTGCCAAGCATGATCAGTTACCCAAAATGAAGAGTTCAATGGCAATGTTGTAGGTTTGACTATGAGGTAAGTTCATATCCCATTTGTAGGAATTTTTATTGCGGTTCCTTTTGATTTGCCCAACTCTAATTTTAAAAGCATGCGTTT